AGCTGGTACTGGGGAGCCCCAGCCCAGAGATGGGAACAGTATTCCATGAGCGGCCGAACCTGCGCCTTGTAAAGTTGCAGGCGGTGTGCCGGCATGAAATACTGTCCCGCTCTGCTGAGCACGCCAAGCTTTTTAGAGGCCAATTTGGCCTTCCCTTCCAAGTGACCACGAAACTGCACGTCACTCGATATGTCGACGCCGAGGATTCCGATACTGGCTGAGGCAACAAGGGGAGTGCCTTGAAACTGAGGGGATACGACAAAGGGGTTCTTTTTAGCGGTTAACGCGCAAACTTGTGTCTTCTGGGGGTTAAACTGGACTAGATTTAGTCGCCCCCAATCCGAGACTCTGTCCAGCAGAGACTCGACTTCAGACACAAGTTTGTCCCGGCACTCAGAGACGTTTTCCCGAGAAATATTTGCTCGGCCGGTGTAAAGAGCATCACCAGTGCTGTCATCTGCATAGCAATGAATGCTACGGGTTTGCAACATATCATTGATATGCAGAAGAAACAGCGTTGGCGATAGCACGCAGCCCTGTGGAACACCAGCATTAATAAGCTTGCAATCGGAGCTTGCACCGTCTACAACGACCTTGATGCTCCGATCTGCAAGAAAACTGGTGATCCAATCGCACAATTTCTCGGGAAGCCCATAGGAAGGGAGCTTCGAAAGAAGCGCTTTGTGCCAAACCCGATCGAAGGCCTTCGCAATGTCCAAACTAACGGCCAATGCCTCCCCCCTTGGACTCTACTGCCTCCGCCCATCTGTGAGTTAGGTAGACCAGAAGATCACCAGCTGACCTACCACGGCGAAAACCGTATTGGCGGTCACTAATCAGCTGGTGATCCTCAAGGTACCTCATGAGCTGGCAGTTTACAATGGACTCCATTGTTTTGGAGAACAAGGAGGTGATGGCGATAGGCCGGTAGTTGGACGGGTCTGAGCGGTCGCCTTTTTTAGGGATCGGGTGGACGAAAGCCGTCTTCCATGATTTTGGGACTACGCCTAGGGAGTAGAAGTACCGGAAAAGACGCGTTAAAACCGGTGCCAACTCTGGAGCACACGTCCTCAGCACAATTGGGGGGATTCCATCAGGCCCACTCGACTTATGGATGTCCAGGGAGAGGAGTGCTTTGCGAACCGAGCGCTGAGTGAAGTGCACTTCCGGCATGGAGCACTCACACCGCGGGATGGTCGGCGGCGTACTCCCCCCGTCATCGAGAGTCGAGTTAGACGCAAAGAAAGAGCCTAGAAGATCGGCTTTCTCCTTTGCGGTGTGGGCCAGTGAGTCGTCCTCCCTGTGCAGAGATGGAAGAGATGGCTGACAGAAATTCCCCTGGACAGCCTTGGCGAGAGACCAGAATGCACGGGTTCCAGAAGGAAGACGAACTAGTCTCTCGCCAATTCTGCCTATGTGCTCTGACTTTGCCTTGGCAATGACTCTTTTGAAGGACCTAGAGGCGGAATTATACTTCTTTTTTAGAGCGCTGGTGTTTACATCCCTGGACGCTGATGCGTCAGCCCAGGCTTGGTAGCACTCCTGCTTATAGCATGATGCTATTTTACAGGAGCGACCAAACCATGGCTGAGATTTGCCTCCAATGGGCACCACAGAGGAAGGAATAAAAAGTTCCATACCCTGAAGTACCACATCAGCGACAGAATCCGCAACAACGTTGGGATCATCCGGCGAGAAGCAAACCCGCCCCCAAGGGTAGGATGCAAAGAAAGACCGCATCCCATCCCAATCAGCTGACCTATAGTGCCAAACACGGCGGCAGCCTGCAGAATGCAACCGCGATTTCAGCGTGAGTGGCACCACACTCCGGACAAGACAATGATCCGAGGAGCCTAAAGGGGCGTCGACGGAAATCTGATATCCGTCCGGGTGAGAGGTCAGCAGAAGGTCCAACAGGGAAGGTGCATGATCCTCCACATCTGGAATCCGCGTAGGCGAAGTAACCAGTTGTGTCAGACCATATGCCAAGGCAAAATCACGAACAGATCTCCCCGCATGATCGGTTAAACGTGAACCGAGCCATTCGGCGTGATGGGCGTTGAAGTCGCCGAGGATCACGATCTCTGCGGAGGGGATCTGCTGTAGCAACGAATCTGCAGCCATTTGGACGTGGTCGAAGAGTCGGTCTGTTTCGGCATTACCGCTATGGGACCTATAGAGGCACCCGTAGACGCGCGGATGGTCGTCGCTGTCTACGCGTAGCCAAAGGATGGACAGGTCCGAACCTTCAAGTCTGCCGAGGCGTCGAGAACAGATGTCCTCTCTGACGTAAACGCAAACTCCAGCCCGAGGCACAAAGGAGTGTTCCAGTTTGTACCCCGGGTAGGAGAGATACGAGACATCAGCCGGAGAGGACACCTGCGTCTCGGTCAGAAAGAGCAGAGCCGGCCTCGCCGTCTCGAGATGGTAGTGGATGGCGTTTAGGTTAGAGTGAAGTCCCCTGATATTGCAGAAATTCACGGACAGCGTGGCAGGGGTCGCCTTGGTCTTGTTGCTCCGTTTGCCCCGAGCAGTTTTAGTCTTGAGCGGAATATTGCCCCCCCCCAGAATACGCGGGGCAGCCTGAGCACCCACGCTCAGAAGTGGAGAAACATGGTCGTGGATGCTCAGCGAGGGATTCTCCAGGGGTGCTGGTACCCTCCTGGGGTAGTCTATCATTTAATTCCGCTACCATGTTGATGGGGGGGGGGGGATTTGGGCCTCCGGCCACCTGCACTCACCAGACGAAACGCGGAAGCAGAGCTTCCACTTCACGCCGGTATTCTGTGAGGTCGTGGTACCACCCCGGTTTGAGCCGGCCCATACGTGCGACAGCAAAGCTGCCGCGTGGCTCTACCACTGTTACCACTATTATTTTGAACGCTATGTGCGCGATACTCACCGCCATCCGCGGACGAGTACCTCTAATTCTAATGTATAAATTTGTATTTTAATATTTTTATTGAACCCTTTTTACCTAAATATTTTTATTCAATTACTGTTGTAAAATGTGTGTTAATATCTGTATTTAATCATTATAAATATTTTATTGTAATATTTGTAATTATTTTAACCCCACAAAGAGTGTGGTTTGCAAGATGATGTTGTGACCAGGATTAAGAAAGGAATGCTTCGGTGGTTTGGTCATGTGGAAAGAATGGATGAGGAAAGAGTGACAAAGAAAATTTATGTTGCAGAAGTGAATGGCAGAGTCGGAAAGGGACGTCCTAGGCGAAAATTTATCGACCAAATTGGCGATTTATTGAAAACGGGCCAAATTAGGAGTACCCTTAACCGACGAGCATGCATGCGTAGATGTATGGATGTGAAGGAGAGAGGTGTGTCAGGATCGTGCCAAATGGAAGTCTGTAGTCTCTGCCTACCCCTCTGGGTGACAGGCGTGAGTGTTTATGTATGTATATATTTAACCCGTATCCATTTTTTAAATACAACTTGCATTTAATAAATAAAAAATAGCTAATAATACTCGACATTTAATTTGCACGTGCTGCGAACCGAAAAGGGCAGGCGGCGCCTTTGATGACGCCTGTATCGACGTCAATATACTTTTGGCTTGGCCTTGGTCTGCCGTACGTGCGACGTTGCTTGAGGCGTTGCCATCTGAAGGCAGCATTACTGGCAAGCAGTGATCGTAACAAACCACCTAAATGTTTATTAAAAAATGTCTATAAATTCGTAAACAAATTAATAAAATTATCAAATTGCTTTATGCAAAAAAGGAGTATATGAAAAGTTAATGTAAATTTGTCATTTGGAGTGGCGCCCTGGTACCATAGGCACAGTGGTGAATAGTTTAGTAGGCTGTATAAAAAAGTACTCTGTGGGCAGTAGGCATTCGCGACACAATCAGCTGAGCGCGAGCGTCGACCGGCGCGGCGCATCGAATAGGTCATACTTTATAATTACCTATTGCTCATTTTAATATTTGTGATTTTTAAAATACAGACTTAAAAGGAGTCAGACATGACAATAAAAACTTAAAAGTAGCTTTTATGTAAATGTATTACATTCTGTAAAGAGTGATCTCGCTAAAATCGTTTGTAATTAGGTATGCCACCATTATATTCCCAAAAGGTATTTAGTAAATTAAAAATGACCCTGTATAATATTTCATGCTCGGCATTAGCTGCTGCAACCTATAGACACAATCAATTTCGTACAAGTAAGGCTACAAACGCTTTGTCATCTTTGTTAACTAATATGGAATGTTTAGCAGCCTGCAGCTGTACCGGCTAGGCATAGGGACACAGCAGTTGATACCCTGCTACGTTGTTAGAAATTAGTAAAAGGGTGGCATATACAAAGATTAACTTCTAGCCAAATAAGGAGTTCTGCCATTGGGATCATGTCATATACAGGATTTGAGGACTAGGAAGCATCAAACGCTATGCTCAAAATGTGAACCTCTTTATTTTGAATAAAATAATTTGTACTTATTTTATAAATACAAAGACAGCTGGAACAAAGCCAAGATAAGTTGTGGGGTAACTCTACAAGGTTTTCGCAAAACTAAATTGAATCAATAGATAGATAAGAACGCTTGGCTAACATACATAAATGGAAGAACAGTGCATGCAATATTTTTGTAGCCATTTCACGTAATTGTTCGACCTTGGAATATGATACGTTACAAATAAACACAGTTTATAAATTGATTCAAGTTCAAATTGCACATACCTATTGATCTTTTCCGCATGATTCTTCACAATTTAGAAATCTGAGTTGATTGATCTTTGTTACAAATCCGACACAATCTTGTTATAAGGCCCTGTCCTATTTAAAGCCTAGAATATTGTACAGTTTAACATACATAAGGAGATAAATAATTATCGGTGTAGACGACCACTAAAATTATGTCTGTGCAAGTTTTATATCGATACAAAATAAACCCTTCCGTACCTTGGGTAAACTTTATTCGACATTTCTAAACTTATCAACTAGAAGAAAGCTTGCTTTAATGCCAACATATTTCTTCTCAGGGCTTCGGGAGTACGCGATAACTAGCGCCCTAAAAGATTCGCGTTTTACTCCCATAACACGCGAGGAGGTGCCGCGGCTGACAGTCTCGGTGTCCATCCTGCAGCACTTCGAGGAGGCCGAGCACTACCTCGACTGGAAGCTTGGCAAGCACGGGATACGCATCGAGTTCATAAACGAGCGCGGCACCAAGCGCACTGCAACCTACTTACCTCAAGTTGCCACAGAGCAAGGTATAGGGAAATGATTGTGTCTCATGACTTAGCGGTCAACAGCCGTAGAATCACATCACCTGAAGATGCCTCGTGTAGACGCGAAACACGTGTCGTATTATCGTCGATGATGTGTCTTTCCTGGAATAGTGGTGTTGGGAGTGGTGATGTTGGAAGTAGTGGTGCCGGGATTGGTGGTGACGGGATTAGTGCACGCAATTGAGGGATGGCGGGAGGTGCTCTTCAATCTAGGGAAGACACATCATTTTATTTAATTTAGCGCATGGTTGCAAAGTAAATATTAATATCTTAATTATAATGGATTTCCGCAAAGTAACGCCTGATTCTATCAATGATTGAAAATCTTTTTTTTGTGACCAAAGAAAAAAAAAGATTTTATACATAATCACAGAATAAAATTAAGAATCCTATGGGGTGTATAAATGAATTTAATAAAGGTTGTCATATGAGAAAGAAAATGTAATAGATAAAAAACTTTTTCCATTCACTTAGATCAATATGTATGGACAACAAAAGAGTTCACTGTTCCCAATTCTTGTCCCGTCATTATCATCATTACAGACCACAAAGAGTCCACTGCAGAATAATAAAACCTTAAAGACACTGTCAAAACATGGAACTGTACCTAAATCCATTGACTTCCTGCAAGTCTTATCAGGTCGTCGTTCCATCTAGTTGGGACCGCATTACTCTCCTCTTATCGGTACGAAGCTCTTACTCGAGAACTATTCTTTTCTCGTTAAACTTTTTTTTTCTCAATAACCATAAAATGTGACTGTGAATGGGTGAATGGGACGGCACGAGAGAGTAAAAGCAGGCCTCTGTCACTCTTGCTACCTGCGTGAAATAATTACCTAAAATCGCGATTCACCCAGGGTGTAATACCACAGAATAAATAATAGTAGAAGTTTCACTCTTTTGATGTGAACTGCTTGCCGACGTTTAATAGCCTACTAATTAATAAGATAATTTGCACACGCAAGCTAAATAAACCTTTATCGCTACGCGCGAGTGTCCGTATTACTTTGCATCTTTTCCTCTTTCTACATCACGGCTGTTTTTCCGTGGTTACATAGGGCTGTCAAGAAGGAATAAAAAGTACAGTATGTATAACATTAATAATTTATTTAATTTACAATTTTTTTACTTAAAATATATTGTTTTTTTTGCCGTCTCTAAAATACCGGTTAACACTCCCTTTCTTTTAAATTCTGTCGTCATATTGAAAAGGATTTGGCGCATTGAAGCTCTGTGGTGGAATCCGGGAACTCCCGGGTTTGATTCCTGTCAGCGACAATTTGGAAGTTTATAATTTCTTTAAAACTGTATGTGTTTATTTTTACTTAAGTATACGGTTTAATAATAAAAACAGCAATGTTAGCGCTTTCATCTATGACTGCTTCATCACCATTCGTCAGGCGCAATCGCAGTGAATACCATAAATTTCAAGAACAACTCAATATTCAAGAACAATTTGTATTACAATATAGGTATGAATAAGAATCACTAACCTCTCCAATTTCACGCTAATCTTCAATGGTGATTAGATTCCACATTTAATTAAGTGGAATATGGGAACAGGCAATAATATCCGCACAGAAAAATAATATAGTGATATTGCACCATATTAAAAACACATGTAAGTAGGTACTTATTTAGCTTATAATATGTATTAATATATGCTCGTTGATCTACTATTTATGCGCACTTCTATTTACCGATCTCTTTCACCAAGGCATAGGATAAGTAATATGTGTACTCGTTACGGTTTGCGGAAGAGATTACTGTTTAGCGATGAGGCCACCAAATTGTACTTTTTATAAATTAATGGTGGTGTGTTATTTTAATATGTTGTGTGCAATAAAGAGTGTAAATTAATTAATTAATACGTTGCGAAATAGTATGTAAAATACGTAAGGTACCTACTCTATCTACTATCGAATGAACATATTTTTGCAAGATCACTCGTCGCGAATCGCTATTTAATAAATGGCTCAGAAGTAATAGGTAGGTAGTGTAAACAACAAATAAACCCGAAATACGATTCCTAAATGAAATATGATTGTATTCTAAGTCAAAAATCTTAAAAAAGTTTTGTGCTTTGTGATAACTTAAAATATTTTAATTACAAAAGACATGTAAGCTACCTACTTAGATAGTGAAGTAAATTTCAACTAAGTTTTGAAGTAAAGTACTTAGGTATTATTTCTGTATTTTAATTATTACTTAATTATTTTTTGCTATAATTATTTATTTAAAAAAAATGAAACAAAAAATGATATTATCTGAATCCTTTTGTTTGCTCATTAGGCATCCATCCACGCAACAATTATAGTAGGTTCGAAGTTTTGCCATTATAATTTATCGAATAGATAAGTAATAAATATATTAATTGATGATGTGTCTCACCTAGATTGAAGAGCACCTCCCGCCCTCCTTCAATTGCATGCACTAACTCCGTCACCACTAGTCCCAGCACCACTACTCCCAACACCACTACTCCCGGCACCACTACTTCCAACACCACTATTCCAGGTGAGACCGCTAAGCGGTCAGCCGCTGTAGAGTCTACATCACCTGAGGATGCCTCGTGTAGAGGCGAAACACGTGTCGTATTATCTATGATGGTGTGTCTTACCTGGAATAGTGGTGTTGGAAGTAGTGGTGTTGGGAGTAGTGGTGCTGGGACTAGTGGTGACGGAGTTAGTGCATGCAATTGAGGTAGGGCGGGAGGTGCTCTTCAATCCATGTAAGACACATCATTGTATTTAGTTAGTGGAAGGTTGCACAGTAATTAATATTTTTATTATAATGGATTTCCGTAAAGTAACGCCTGATTCTATGAATAGATAGGTAATTAATTATATATTATTTTTAAACCACATTAAAAATTTTTGAACTATTTTATCCTACAATTAAATATACTAAACACTAAACAAAAATTACAACAAGTGTTTACAAAAACTATTCACGTAAATAGCGTTAAAATTCATCAATCGCCTACAACGCGCTAGCCCTGCACCCTGGGTGAATCGCGATTTTAGGAAATTATTTCATGCAGGTAGCAAGAATGACAGAGGCCTGGTAATACGCAGTCGGGGCTAGCGCGTTCTAGGCGATTGATGTATTTTTAACGCTGTTTACATACCTAAATAGTTTTTTGTAAACACTTGTTGTAATTTTTGTTTAGTGTTTAGTATTTAATTGTAGGATAAAATAGTTCAAATTTTTTAATGTGATTTAAAAATAATATATGTGTAGGTGCAGGTTATACATATCTATTTGATAAATTATAATGGCAAAACTAATAATATGAGCAAACAAAAGGATTCAGATATATCATTTTTTAAGTTACCTAAGGATAAGGAAAGGTACAATTATTTCATTTTTTTGTTAAATAAATACTTACAGCAAAAAAAATTACGTAATAATTTAAATATAGAAGTAATACCTAAGTATTTGATTACAAAACTTAGTTGAAATTTACGTAGGTAAATAGAAGTAGGTAACTTACATGTTTTTTGTAATTAAAATATTTTAAGTTATCACAAAGCACTGAAATTAAAATTTTGTTTACAAGATTTTTAACTAATTAGAAAACATTTTATTTAGGAATCGTGTTTCAGGTTCATTTTGTTTATACTACCTACGTATTTCTTCCGAGCGATTTATTAAATCGCGATTGGCGACGAGTGACCTTGCACGTTGCATGCGTTAGGCACAGTATTCGCATAATAGCAAAAATATGTTAATTCGATCAGACAGAAAACCTTACCTATTTTACTTATCATTTCGCAACGTTTGATTATCTTATTTATTTATACTCTTTATTGAATTTTTATTTATTGAATTAAATTTATGTACAAATAGTTGGCCTCATCGCTTAACAGTGATCTCTTCCAGGAAAATCTTGGTAACGTACGAGTAGCACTACATATTATTTATTCCATGCCTCGGTGAAGGAGATCCGTAAATAGAAGCGTGCATAAATAGTAGATAAATGAGCATATATTAATACATATTATAAGCTTAATAAGTACCTACTTACATGTATTTTTAATATATTTTTAATATATTCTTGACAGCCCTAAGTAATCACGGAAAATCAACTGTGATGTGGGAACGGGAAAAGATGCAAAGTAATACGGACACTCGCGGGCAGCAATAAAGGTTTATTTAGCTTGTGTGCCTAATTTATCTTATTAATAATAATAATGTAGGTTATTAAACGTTGGCAAGCAGTCAACATCAAAAGAGTGAAACTTCTGTACGTAGTACTATTTTTTTTATAGGATAGGGTGACAAACGAGCACACAGTCCACCTGCTGATAAGTGGTTGCTGCGGCCCATAGACATCTACATCTATCCTCGATTACGAATAAAAATGCAGATGCGTTGTCACCCGTGAGGACTAAGATGGAATGCCTCGTTTCCAGTAAAAAGGATCAGAGGCAGCATTAAGCTACTATTTGACGCTGGTATTCTGTGAGAGCGTGGTCCTTCCCCGGTCGAGCCGACCCATTCCTGATACAACTATACTACTAATATAGCTGTAGTATGGCTCTACCACGTCAAAAAAGGCTGTCAAGAATATATTATTCTTTGGTAAAAGTGAAAGGAAGTGAGACGCGGAGGTGGGGTACACATGCTTTACTCCAGCTATACGCACTCATCTTCATAGACGATTTTTAGTATTTCAGCTTGTGGAAATCGGCAATTATGTTTTTTTTTGTTATATGTTCAAAAAAACAACCGCGCACAAGAATTTCAAGACCACGTTTTTTTTTTGCAACTTTGTAACCCTCCCACTCCCTGCGTTTTACGTCGAATCGTCAGATTTTCTAAATGCACTCTTCTTAGCTTGAAACTATCTCACTTTATCTTAATCTGACGCGCTTAAGTTAATCCACCTTACATACCTCCACCTATCATATGCTCAAACGTTTTTTCGGTCTATTTGTTAAGGTGGTGTTTGTACGTTTCTATATGAGTGTGATATGTGTTTATCTGTATATGTATGTTACAGGTTGGGACCAAATACAAACAATCGACTCGCTTTTACGAAAGGGAGGTTACAAAGCGGCGATCACTTCAGATCTCCGGAGGAGCATCAAGTTGACCCGCTACCAATCCGAGGAGGTGTCGGCTTCCTATAGCGATTACATCAGCCAACGTTGCTAGCATCCCGCCATTCTCCACGGGCACCAACAGCCCGCAGACATAAGACTCGTGTACCAATACACACCGTACACAGACAAGCAATTATATACAAGTCCAAGTGGGAGTTACAAATATTGTGTTAATAATAATTTAGTCTCTAAGTGTACTCTATGTGTTACGAATCCTATGATGCGATTTGACGAACACGGCAATACTTTTAATACGGTCAAAAGTACAATGGGAAGTCAGAATTATGCTCAAAGTGGTTCCGGAGGGGACAGGAGCGGTTCATTTGTAATTAACATCGTTTAATGTTAAGCAATTATCACTGCCAACGACATTCCTGTAAGGAAGATTCAAGTGCCATCATCGAACTGAACTTATTCACTTTTTATACAACGTCCAGCGGTATGTTGATATTTTTTTTACATCTTCAGTCGACTTCTGATGATGATACATGCAATTGTAGATTTTATTACAATCTACTACGGGCTATAACTGTGTGTGGTTGTCGTCTGAATATATAGTGTAGATGCAATGATATGCGTGATTCTTTAGTGCTTTGAATAAGGTTTATTATTCCAATTAAATAACAGTCATTTGCTTTGCTTTGTGTTGGCCGATAACCGATATGCTGAAAGCCAGATTAAATATGGCGCCAAATATCAATTGTCAATTATTTGAAGTATTGTAGTGATTTTTCTTAAACTGCATGTATCATCGTCACCCGTTTTCGGACAGTTTATGAATTTTACTTTATCGAGGATGCACTTTGATCAAAATTTTGACTTGCTTTATTGTTGTATAATTAATTTTGTTGCCATTTCGGCGTGTGTTGCAACTGATTCCAATTGCTTCATCAAACAATTACAATTTGTTATAAATAATATTTTATTTAGCAATGCCTCTTTTTGTCTATTTCGCATTTTTGAATAAATTCTAGCAGCCGTCCGATTTAAAGTCACATTCTAATATAAACTGTATTTTGGCTTTTCAAAGTAAGTTGGTAGATTTTTCGCTTAACTACAAATCCACCTGATGGTTAGTGGTGATGGTAGCCGAAGATGGTGAAGCGCACTGATTTACAATAGCCTATTCACTCTTGTCCTGAAGACACCCGCATTGTAATCGGATGAAAACACAGACGTCGGCGACTTATTCCACTCCTTCACTGTACGCATGATGAACGATGTAGCAAACGGTTTGATTTGAATGCGTGGTAAGTCGACAACGAAAGGGTGGATACTGGCCGAACGTCTGGCTGTCCGACGGTGGAAGAGAGATGGAGGAATCCTGTGGAAAACCGAAAGACTGACTACTATGCACCTGTTTTCAAGGCTGGTGAGATTGGTTTTAATCAGATTCGTGTCACCAATAAGCCGTTTAGCATGCCTTTTCTGAGTCCAAAACTGCTAGGTGGCCATATATGGCAGCAATATTCCGTGCATTACGGACTTGCGCTTTATATAGAGTAATCAGCTGACCTGGTGTGAAGTACCGCCGTAATTTTGCAAGGACTAATAGCTTCCTTGCAGCTGCTTTGGCCTTGGACTCAATAGTCCGCCCGAAGTTCAGGTTGAGGATATCTCATCCCCCAACAACTGAAGGCGGTCGGTGTATTTCATTGATATGTTTCGGATAAAAAGAGCCAAGGTGAGCTGGCTCCTTTTGAAGGCGATGAGTTTTACAAGATTGGCATTGCCCCATCTCGAGACTGCCTGTAGTATGGGATTTAGACGCTCAACCATAGCTTTCCTTTCGGACTGGATTTGATCCCGACTGACCCGAGCACTTGGTTGATATCTCTCCACAACTGTGCTGTCGTCTGCATACCCAGAGATACCGGGCATAAGCAGGTCATTAATATGCAGCAGGAAGAAAGTTGTGGAGAGAACGGACGCCTGAAGAACTCCGGCGTTAGTGGGCATAGGTTGGGATGAGCAGCCATCGACGATGATTGTATCGGCGATTAAGCGGCATGTTTGATAATAAATTATTAAATTATCGTTGCAATTCGATATTACGCCATAGACAATAAGTAGGAACATAACAATATTTATATTGTCAGCGCCTTGTTCATTTCTTAGTATAAAGTTGGCATTTTCATAAGTTATTCTAAATTATAGGAAGTACAAAGTATATCAGTGATTAAGAATGGATTGCAACACAGTTATATTCAGTTATGACATACGCCTGAATATATCTTTAAATAATTCTTTATAAATTATAAATTTTTTGTCCAGTTGTGGCTGTTACAAGCATAAATTGTGTTATTGTTGTCCGAAAATACATTTGTTTCTTTTTAATATTTAATAACATATGGTAACATATTGTATTGTTGAGGTGTTGGATTATTTCAATGTTTGTGAGCGGAGTTTAATTCAAATATTATATTATCTGTTTTATTGAGTTTAAGTAAAATATATTTTTGTATGTGGAATTTCAAGCCCCTTAGAAACTTTGTGCATGACCACTGGACTGTACAGGGTGAAGTTTTATCATATTTCGTAATAACATTAATGATATAAATCTGTTTTAGTGTGTTTAAGTGTAATGAACCTTAGATCTCTAGATTTTTTCTTCTCATCGCATAGATAGTATAATAATATAAAAGAATTGGTTAGTGAAAAACATATTTTTCTCGGCATATGGTACTTCATCCATGGAGATTTAATTTCAAATTCAACATAGCAGATCTTTTGTAGATTTCTGTTCACAAATTTAATTTTGTTGCTTTATTGAAGACTTGGTAACATAAAGGGTGCCACAGGCAATTGGGCTATTTACCATATAAATTAAATTACTTAAAAAACATTATTAAAAATCATATTAAAAAATAAAAAATCAAAACGAACAAAATCTTTTAGTTATTTCGCGGTCTTAATAACAGTATAATATTTTTATATAAATTGTTGCTGTTTTATAATCAGCTTTATTCTTTTTACCTTAGAGGTAGTTTCTCAATTCAGTAACACTATGATAAAGTTATAAAAAAATCGCGTTATTGTAGACTGTATGAGTGAGTGATTGCAACATTTGTCCCTGTAATAACTGAAGCTTTTAAAAATATCTGTACTATTATTGCTTTTAGAGGGGTTTATACAGAAACAGGGTAGTCTAATAAAATTGTTGATCAGCTGATAAATATTATATTAGGTGTATTGCTGCTTAAGATGGGATATTAATGAGCCGTCTTCCGCTTTGAAGGAAAATAAAAACTTGTTGCAAACTTAAATGAAGAAGTAGTGAATACATGCTGCATTGCTCGGAAGTAAACTTTAAATTATATTTAATTTGATAAGGCACGTCTGTCTTGTAGTATGGCGAGTAGATATGATTATACAGACGTTACTTTACTGCCCGCAATTTCGAGTAAAAAGCACTAAAGTGGGGATAATTTTAGAACAAACAACGAACGAGACATCTTCGAGGTTTAACCTTAAAGATGTTTCTGCGAGAATTGACCGAGGTGGACGCGAGACTTGAAATGTTCAACTTAAAAAAACTTAATTTTTTTCCGTAAGTTAAAAATGAAACAACTTTGTATACCTAATGTGTTTTAATATGACCTAAGAGAAATTAAAAGCCTAAAAAATTTGTTACTTTGGTATAACTTTGCACCGTTTAAATATGGAATCTGCAAGGTACACGTCTTAGCGCTACACAGCGCTTGTCAGTATACAAAATTTTTATAAAATTATGTTTTTTTGCGCAATAATTACATTTCATTAGATTTACAGAGGTTCAAATAGTTGATAGTGTACTACAACGTCTCTTAATTTCAGAAGAATAATATTCTCTTAACAATGTAGGTAATGCTACATAATGTGAAAAGTTGTAAATAAAAATCCGTCATCAAAGTAGATCCCGAGTTATCTTTTATTTATAAACTTCGTAAAGTTCTGCTATATTGAAATATGTATTCATATGCCCAAAATAGAGAGCTAGATATTTGTAAAATAATTAGATTTATCTGTCATCTTATGAAATTATAATATATTTGTAAGTGCAGCCTGTGAGAGACGGATTGTTCACGACAATACTTCTCCATAGATGAAAATAAAATTAGAGCATGTAATATTTAAAATTAAATAGTGAGCGATTTTCCAGTACTATGACAGTCTATAAAGTTCTTTAGCAACAATTAGAGATTTAAGCCGAAATACTCAATAAACAGTCCCTTTGATTTAACGTAATAGAGACAGCACGAGACTTAACGGCAACTTAATTTGAGTAGCGTTTAAGTGTTTCGGCGTAAATCTTTTTATTTAGGACGCCGCCACGGCGCTTAAAATATGTGGTGTAACAGTGATGCGGTGCAACGTCGTGAGATTAGAGCGCTACGTACTAACTTGAAGCTTCTGGTGTCAGGTGCGCCTAGTGCTCTAAATGTTCGTGTTATTAGGGAGTCCCCACATTTACCGACGTGGACGCCTTCAGCAGCTCAGAAAAACCTTTGTGTGTACGAAATAAAGGTGTTGCTAATGCCATTATCATCGCCTCGGCTTGAACGACGCCGTCGCGTCGACGTCAAAACTAGCGGTTTGCCGATTAGGTGATCGCATCCGTACGACGCTGAAAGTAGCCGAACGCCAGTGTCGACGTCATGGAGTATAGAGGTAAGGAGGACTATATCCCATAGGAGAATAGTTGAAAATGTGTCCATCTGTAAGCAGTAAATAACAGTTCAAAAACTCTCCACAACAGCTCTCGAGTAGCTAGCTACAGGGTATGATGAATCGCCGTAAAATACGTTGAGGGATTTTGAAAATAAAAATTTTGAAAGCAATAAAATAATTTTTGTAAAAAGAATTGTGGTGAAAGTCTGTGCAATAAAGAAATTATACAAAGTTTTTTAAAATTTAGACTGTAGCCATAGTGGCGCCAACCTTATTTAGCGTTTTCCTAGAGACACTTTTTTATATACAGAGTCTGTACTCCTTACCTCTACACTCCATAGTCGACGTGTTTAAATTTCCGACGGCAGCCGATCGGCGCCGAAGACGGACGAACGCGCCGGA